ACATCATGTAAATAAATTATAAAGTTTAGACATTAAAAACAGATACTACGGGAAGGCAATTATACAATTGAACGATGTACATATTACATTTTTAACAAAACAGAAATAAAGAAAGACTCCGGATTTCTTTTTTATATCTGGACATGTTGTAAAATTGATATCAAAAGAAAAAACCTTATTACAGATTGTTATGATAATACTTGTTTAAGAATCAAGAATTAAAGCCACATAATCAATACAATGTTCGGGCCCTCATCAAACTCGTTGTATTATGTGAAACAATACCACAATTCAACACTACACGAAAGCGTTGTAATTCTTCGTATATCTTGCTTTCGGTTTGATTAGTCCGTAGGGAGAATATAGGGATATGCTAGCACTCAACAGCACGCTTTAATATTTAATTCTAACTCGACCCGTTCGTGCTTCGACTGGAAGTCTAATTACAATGCGTAGATGGAATCATCCTGTAGCTTCCACTGTAATCAATTTCAATAATTTTAAAATCTGAAAAGAAAGTTTAAAAATATGGAATATTTAGAAGATTTCGTGTGTGAGGATAATGTTTTATCGTCATGGAAAATTGCCAACTTATGAATTTAATAATTTTAATGGTATTCTAAATGAAGTAGCATATGGTTATTGTCTCCGATATTAGAAAGGTTGGTGACTGATGCCAATAATTCAAGTGCTCGGTAAAACTGGACGGACAGAGTCTATTCATTATGCATGGGTACGAAAGGTCATTTAAAATGATAGCTACATGACTGTTTAACCTTTGAAAGGAGTATTTTGTTTCAAAAAAGCAATTTATTACAAAATTACCAAAAATACTAATTAGAGCTAAATGTTGATAAACAACAAACCAACAAGCCAGCAAGCAAACTAATAAACAACGGAAATGTAGAACACACTAGCATTCTTAAGATAGGAACGATGTTGAAAGATGTTGAACTGTGTATACTTTTCTCTTGCTGTTCAACATAGTGTCATTTTCAACTTATGCGCCTCGAAATGAATAACTTCTGGTATTGTTAGTAAAGACATTAAGATACACTGCGTAAAATACTTGTACATATTTGAATTAAGTACTTCAAAAATGTACACGGAATTCAGGGTGACACTGTCACGAGACCTTATATCTGATAGAATGCATTTAGGAGATGAGTACTTTCTTATCGTTAAAACAGACTATGATTATGTGTGTGTGTGTTTTTATATTAATTTGGTGGAAAAGCAATAACTTATCTTGACAGAGATAACCAAAATTCGAAGAAGATAGCATGTCTGACGTTTGCGATATTTAAAAAAGGCGATAGCTCCAGGATATTTTAAAATTTGCAATCATTTAAAAAATACCTTGGTTAAAATTACATGTCTTGTTTCAAACGAAAATGTTATGAAGTTGGTCAATTGTGATTATGATATCATCTGATAGTTTAAGTGAAGTGGTTTTGTCCTCATTAAATAAAGGACCATATGGTTGTAACAGAGAGGAGATATTAAGTTCCTCCCTACTCCGATATAGGAGGTTCAAGCTATCGATTTCAGCGTGTCATTTCTATCGCTTGCAGCGAAGATGATGAATTCCTAATCAATTTGGTAAAGATAATGTACGGAAACGTATGCCGGTGATGGAACCGAGGTCCGGAGGGAAATATTAGTAAACCATCTACTACCGATCACAAAGATTTCTACTGTAGACCAGGGACGTGCCCCATTAATTCGACATTTTTAATGAGATTGGCCATTAAATGGAATTTTATTATTAACCGAAAACGATTAAACATGCAGAGGTAAACATATAGTCATTAACCTGATATTTCAATAGGTACAATATTTTGTCTCCGTTTTCTTATGGTATGGCCGAGTAGCATATCTGATAGACGGTTAAAGTTGTTTACAGAGACATAGTAACCAGGTAACGGATTAAATACATAAATAAACTATATTTATTTCACAACAATTACTAAACAAGTTATTTCAACATAACTAATCTTGTTCGCCCGGATGGCCTTAAATCTAGTAACGGGTTTTGATTTGCATTCATCTGTGCGTAAGGTATCACACCACAAATATGTCACTTTGCTCACAAATCTTATTAGTATTTTTTACTCTAAAACCACAATGAGGATACGGAGAGAAGATTTTTCTCATATACATTATTTAAATACACGTAAGAAAATAGCCAATTTACATCTTATATCTACTGCACGAATGTAACAATGGTATACATATACTCAAGAAATCAACATCTTGTTTATTGTACACACCTACGTAATGGGATGTACACACATACACAACGAATGTAAACACATACACAACGAATGTACACACATACACAACGAATGTACACACATACATAGCAAATGTATATATACACAACGAATGTACACACATACACAATATATGTACACACAGAATCAACAAATGTACACACTTACACAATATATGTACACACAGACACAACAAATGTACACACTTACACAACGAATGTACACACATACACAAAGAATGTTCACACATACGTAACGAATATACACACATACACAACAAATGTTCACACATACGTAACGAATGTACACACATACACAATATATGTACACACAGACACAACAAATGTACACACTTACACAACGAATGTACACACATACACAAAGAATGTTCACACATACGTAACGAATATACACACATACACAAAGAATGTTCACACATACGTAACGAATGTACACACATACACAACAAATGTTCACACATACGTAACGAATGTATATATACACAACGAATGTACACACAGACACATCGAATGTACACACAGACACAACAAATGCACACACTTTCACAACATATGTGCACACAGACACAACGAATGTATACACAGACACAACAAATGTACACAATACATAGCAAATGTATATATACACAACGAATGTACACACAGACACATCGAATGTACACACAGACACAACAAATGCACACACTTACACAACATATGTGCACACAGACACAACCAATGTACACACATACACAACGAATGTACACACATACACAACGAATGTACACACAGACACAACGAATGTACACACTTACACAACGAATGTACACACAGAATCAACGAATCTACACACATACACAACGAATGTTCACACATACACATCGAATGTACACACAGACACAACAAATGCACACACTTACACAACATATGTGCACACAGACACAACAAATGTACACACATACACAACGAATGTACACACATACACAACGAATTTACACACATACACAACGAATGTACACATAGACACAACATATGTATATAAAATACACAACGAATGTACACACATACACAACGAATGTACACACATACGTAACGAATGTACACACATACACAACATATGTGCACACAGACACAACAAATGTACACACTTACACAACATATGTACACACCTGCACAACGAATAGATAGAGTTAATGATACACACATACACATCGACCCAATTTCTTCATTATGATAAGTATATACACTGCCAATAAACATCTTAACTATAGCACACATATAAAAAGTTTACTTAGAAAAAATGGAAGTGAATTTTGCCTCGAAACTATATATTGGGATAGCAGGAGTTGAAGATGATTTTTACATAAAAATCTGTACTGAATACACTGTTTCTAATTTCAATTTTACGTCGTTTTGAATTTTCTGGTCAAAAATCTGAAATCAAGTCAAAGGCTTCACGTTTTTACAATAGTTATCTTGTTTGGAGCCTAAATATCCGTTGTTGATAACAAGCACTTGTTAAGTCATACTGTCTTATAATCAGAAGCCGATTTTCAGGTATCTTTGTCACCGTGAGTGTTATTATGAAAACATTTTTTCCGAAAGTGACATAAATTTTTAATTTTCAATGCATAATTCGTCAAAACACATAATTACCAATAATTACCAAAGCACAATTATGATAATTATGAAAAAGCAAAATTACCAATTTTTTTTTTTTCGTTTCACGAAGTACTGGATCGTGTAATTTTGCTGAATTTACATAATACAACAAAGGGACTAAAGAGAGAGAAAGAGAGAGAGAGAGAGAGAGAGAGAGAGAGAGAGAGAGAGAGAGAGAGAGAGAGAGAGAGAGAGAGAGAGAGAGAGAGAGAGAGAGAGAGAGAGAGAGAGAGAGAGAGAGAGAGAGAGAGAGAGAGAGAGAGAGAGAGAGAGAGAGAGAGAGAGAGAGAGAGACAAAACTTTTTTCTGCATTCCTGAGACAAGTTTGCTTCTTTTGTTTTATAAGCAACTGAACGATGTTCATGTTAACACTTAACACACTTGTCCATATATATGTTCATGAACGATTCTCACATCATCAGGTATTCAACCAAGATAAACAATGTCTAGTTGTTCAATTAGGGCAAACAGTTGGCTCATAAAAGAATGATAGGTACAGCGTATATAGATATATATCATGATATCGCCTTATATGGTAGGTACAGACTAAACATCGTGATCTTTGTGTTCCAGTCAACGTACCGAGACGTATGACCTTTTAGCGAAATCTTTGAAAACATAATGCCTAAACGACTTCATTAAGCATCTATTTTTGGAAATACTACATTTATATGTATGAATAACTTAGATCAATTATACGTGCGTTTGTTTGTTTGCTGGGATTATCACTGTTGACATTTTGAGTGTGGAAACCATATTGGTACAGTTCCCACATTGAATATGATGTGGTAGGATGTGGTAGGCCTGACCATTGCTATCCAAAACATTTGGGGTTAAGTGTTTTTCCAAGGACATAAACCACGAAAGCACCGTAAGGTTTCCTGAGAAACATAACCTGCCTTCAGCAGGGATCGAACCTGATCCCTCGGGTCTTCAACTGTGATTGCAAAATCTGACGCTCTAACGAATGAGATATTGTAGCCCCTAAAGCAATCTTAGAACATTTGAAAAGACTCCTGTAAACGTATTTTATTTAGCACAATCACAATTTAGCTGATTAAGACTATTCTAATGAATTATCAGTTCGTGCATCTTCAAAAAATAAAAACATTAAAAACATACGGAAATTGCGATTAGCGCAATGATATTTTCAACGCGAGAAATTCAGAGGGAAATCAGCTACAAAATGAGAAAACCGCTAAGATATGTACGTTTGATGAATGTATGATTTTGATTACCTGTAGGGGCGAGTGATGGGGGTAGGGGCGAGTGATAGGAGTAGGGGCGAGTGATGGGGGTAGGGGCGAGTGATGGGGGTAGGGGCGAGTGATAGGAGTAGGGGCGAGTGATGGGGGTTTGGGCGAGTGATGGGAGTAGGGGCGAGTGATGGGGGGTAGGGGCGAGTGATGGGGGTTTGGGCGAGTGATGGGAGTAGGGGCGAGTGATGGGGGTAGGGGCGAGTGATGGGGGTTTGGGCGAGTGATGGGAGTAGGGGCGAGTGATGGGGGTTTGGGCGAGTGATGGGAGTAGGGGCGAGTGATGGGGGTAGTTTGGGCGAGTGATGGGAGTAGGGGCGAGTGATGGGGGTAGGGGCGAGTGATGGGGGTTTGGGCGAGTGATGGGGGTAGGGGCGAGTGATGGGAGTAGGGGCGAGTGATAGGAGTAGGGGCGAGTGATGGGGGTAGGGGTGAGTGATGGGGGTAGGGGCGAGTGATGGGGGTAGGGGTGAGTGATGGGGGTAGGGGCGAGTGATGGGGGTAGGGGCGAGTGATGGGGGTAGGGGCGAGTGATGGGGGTAGGGGCGAGTGATGGGGGTAGGGGTGGGGGTGGGGTAGGGGTGGTTGGTTGATTGGTTAGGTTTGTGTGTCTAGTGGTTTGGAATTGGAAGGGACTATTTCCGAATGTTATATATACGCTTTAATTTTTTTCCCTAGCGCGAACGGTCAATAACACCTCACATCACATCGTAATATAGAATATAAATTGATATATCAGTGATATCCCCAGGGGAAAATTTGGACACATTTGGACAATGGGAAATAGAATTAAGTTTACAAGTTTACCAATCGTTTGTCTTAATATTTAGCCAGACTTCAATCGTAACCCAATAGAATGTTTAGTATCAGTGGAGATTTCTTCTGGAAAAAATAGCTAATTTAATCAGCAAATGTTTTGTAGCTCCAATCGCCTACAGATAGAAATGTAATGGCGGAAAAGACGGTCTTTGGATTTCTTACGTGTTCGGTATAGTCGTCTCATCGACATTTGCTGGATGTACTTCGGTTTGATGGATGAAACCATTGATGTTTGGTAACGGTTAAAAATCCTCATAAAGACGGGAGTCACATGAGAAAGGGTGTGTAGGGAGACACGAACACCCATGGTCATATCTGAATAGGTATCTAGAAAGACACCAACTCTAGGGTCATATGAGAACAGGTGTCTGGAGAGACACCAACTCCCGAGTCATATGTAAACAGGTGTTTAGAAAGACACCAACCCCAGGGTCATATTTAAACAAGTTTCTAGAGAGACGCCAACTCCAGAGCCATAATTAAACAGGTTTCTAGGGAGACACCAACTCCAGGGTCATATGTGTACAGGTGTTTAGAGACACCAAGTCCAGGGTCATATGTGTACAGGTATTTAGAGAGAAACCAACTCCAGAGTCATATTTAAACTCCCGGGTCATATAAGAACGGGTTTCTGGGTTGAATACACTATATGATATCAGTATATATACCGAGTGTTGAATACACTATATGATATCAGTATATATACCGAGTGTTGAATACACTATATGATATCAGTATATATACCGAATGTTGAATACACCATATGATATCAGTATATATACCGAGTGTTGAATACACCATATGATATCAGTACAGTATATATACCGAGTGTTGAATACACCATATGATATCAGTACAGTAAATATACCGGGTGTTGAATACACTATATGATATCAGTATATATACCGAGTGTTGAATACACTATATGATATAAGTATATATACCGAGTGATGAATACACCATATGATATCAGTATATATACCGAGTGTTAAATACACTATATGATATCAATATATATACCGAGTGTTGAATACACCATATGATATCAGTATATATACCGAGTGTTGAATACACTATATGATATCAGTATATATACCGAGTGATGAATACACCATATGATATCAGTATATATACCGAGTGTTGAATACACCATATGATATCAGTACAGTATATATACCGAGTGTTGAATACACCATATGATATCAGTACAGTATATATACCGGGTGTTGAATACACTATATGATATCAGTACAGTATATATACCGAGTGTTGAATACACCATATGATATCATTACAGTATATATACCGAGTGTTGAATACACCATATGATATCAGTACAGTATATATACCGAGTGTTGAATACACTATATGATATCAGTACAGTATATATACCGAGAGTTGAATACACCATATGATATCAGTATATATACCGGGTGTTGAATACACCATATGATATCATTACAGTATATATACCGAGTGTTGAATACACTATATGATATCAGTACAGTAAATATACCGGGTGTTGAATACACCATATGATATCAGTATATATACCGAGTGTTGAATACACCATATGATATCAGTATATATACCGAGTGTTGAATACACTATATGATATCAGTATATATACCGAGTGTTGAATACACTATATGATATCAGTATATATACCGAGTGTTGAATACACCATATGATATCAGTACAGTAAATATACCGGGTGTTGAATACACCATATGATATCAGTACAGTATATATACCGAGTGTTGAATACACCATATGATATCAGTACAGTATATATACCGAGTGTTTAATACACCATATGATAGTATATCATATGTACAGTAAATATACCGGGTGTTGAATACACCATATGATATCAGTATATATACCGAGTGTTGAATACACTATATGATATCAGTATATATACCGAGTGTTGAATACACTATATGATATCAGTATATATACCGAGTGTTGAATACACTATATGATATCAGTATATATACCGAGTGTTGAATACACTATATGATATCAGTATATATATGAATACACAATATATATATGATATCAGTATATATACCGAGTGTTGAATACACCATATGATATCATTACAGTATATATACCGAGTGTTGAATACACCATATGATATCAGTACAGTATATATATACACATGATATCGTATATATAGTGTTGAATACACCATATGATATCATTACAGTATATATACCGGGTGTTGAATACACTATATGATATCAGTATATATACCGAGTGTTGAATACACTATATGATATCAGTACAGTATATATACCGAGTGTTGAATACACCATATGATATCATTACAGTATATATACCGAGTGTTGAATACACCATATGATATCATACAGTATATATACCGAGTGTTGAATACACTATATATATCAGTACAGTATATATACCGAATGTTGAATACACTATATGATATCAGTATATATACCGAGTGTTGAATACACCATATGATATCAGTACAGTAAATATACCGGGTGTTGAATACACCATATGATATCAGTATATATACCGAGTGTTGAATACACCATATGATATCAGTATATATACCGAGTGTTGAATACACCATATGATATCAGTATATATACCGAGTGTTGAATACACTATATGATATCAGTATATATACCGAGTGATGAATACACCATATGATATCAGTATATATACCGAGTGTTAAATACACCATATGATATCATTACAGTATATATACCGAGTGTTGAATACACTATATGATATCAGTACAGTATATATACCGAGAGTTGAATACACCATATGATATCAGTACAGTAAATATACCGGGTGTTGAATACACCATATGATATCAGTATATATACCGAGTGTTGAATACACCATATGATATCAGTATATATACCGAGTGTTGAATACACTATATGATATCAGTACAGTATATATACCGAGAGTTGAATACACCATATGATATCAGTACAGTATATATACCGAGTGTTGAATACACCATATGATATCAGTACAGTATATATACCGAGTGTTGAATACACCATATGATATCAGTACAGTATATATACCGAGTGTTGAATACACCACATGATATCAGTATATATACCGGGTGTTGAATACACCATATGATATCATTACAGTATATATACCGAGTGTTGAATACACAATATATATGATATCAGTACAGTATATATACCGGTGTTGAATACACATATGATATCAGTATATATGATATCAGTATATATACAGTATATATACCGAGTGTTGAATACACCATATGATATCAGTATATATACCGAGTGATGAATACACCAAATGATATCAGTATATATACCGAGTGTTGAATACACCATATGATATCAGTATATATACCGAGTGTTGAATACACCATATGATATCAGTACAGTATATATACCGGGTGTTGAATACACCATATGATATCAGTACAGTATATATACCGAGTGTTGAATACACCATATGATATCAGTACAGTATATATACCGAGTGTTTAATACACCATATGATATCAGTACAGTATATATACCGAGTGTTGAATCATGATATCAGTATATATGAATACACTATATGATATCAGTATATATACCGAGTGTTGAATACACTATATGATATCAGTATATATACTGAGTGTTGAATACACTATATGATATAAGTATATATACCGAGTGATGAATACACTATATGATATCAATATATATACCGAGTGTTGAATACACCATATGATATCAGTATATATACCGGGTGTTGAATACACCATATGATATCATTACAGTATATATACCGAGTGTTGAATACACCATATGATATCAGTACAGTAAATATACCGAGTGTTGAATACACCACATGATATCAGTATATATACCGGGTGTTGAATACACCATATGATATCATTACAGTATATATACCGAGTGTTGAATACACTATATGATATCAGTATATATACCGAGTGTTTAATACACCATATGATATCAGTATATATACTGAGTGTTGAATACACTATATGATATCAGTATATATACCGAGTGATGAATACACCATATGATATCAGTATATATACCGAGTGTTAAATACACTATATGATATCAATATATATACCGAGTGTTGAATACACCATATGATATCAGTACAGTATATATACCGAGTGTTGAATACACGAGTGATGAATACACCATATGATATCAGTATATATACCGAGTGTTGAATACACTATATGATATCAGTATATATACCGAGTGTTTAATACACCATATGATATCAGTACAGTAAATATACCGGGTGTTGAATACACCATATGATATCAGTACAGTATATATACCGAGTGTTGAATACACCATATGATATCAGTACAGTAAATATACCGGGTGTTGAATACACCATATGATATCAGTATATATACCGAGTGTTGAATACACCACATGATATCAGTATATATACCGAGTGATGAATACACTACATGATATCAGTATATATACCGAGTGTTGAATACACTATATGATATCAGTACAGTATATATACCGAGTGTTGAATACACTATATGATATCAGTATATATACCGAGTGTTGAATACACTATATGATATCAGTATATATACCGAGTGTTGAATACACTATATGATATCAGTATATATACCGAGTGTTGAATACACTATATGATGTCAGTATATATACCGAGTGTTGAATACACTATATGATGTCAGTATATATATCGAGTGTTGAATACACTATATGATATCAGTATATATACCGAGTGTTGATTACACTATATGATATCAGTATATATACCGAGTGTTGAATACACTATATGATATCAGTATATATACCGAGTGTTGAATACACTATATGATATCAGTATATATACCGAGTGTTGAATACACTATATGATAAAAGTACAGTATATATACCGAGTGTTGAATACACCATATGATATCAGTACAGTATGAATGTAAGTGATGAACTTACACTGAAAGTGGGGTACAGGTACTGTACTCTATAAATAGATATTTTTGTGGATTTATGACGTTGAGTTTTTTTTTTACTTTTGTCTAGACTGATGACATCATTGCTTTGTGATCACAAAAACAGTATGAAGCTTTGATGAACTCTGTCGTTTAAGCCGTCACACATAAAAATGATTATTCAAGAATATAAAAAAACCGTTTTTTTTTCCTGTAAAATGATAGATATAACCAATCCTAATAATACTGTCTGTAATTTATTATTAATTGTACAGGCCTTTACTAGGTATCAACCATATATCATACCCATGTCACAAACATTTAATCCCGGTGTTGCTAGGAAGTGTTGTACGTGTTCCATATCTATTGTTATATTGTGTGTTTGTTTATTACTTAGTTTCTTTGTTTTATTTTTGTTTTTTTGGGTTATTTTGTTGGTTGGTTGGTTTGTTATACAGAGCATGGCTTTTTTTCATGAAATATTTCTTTACAAGGTAATAACAACAATATAATTGTTATTAAAAGCAATATTTAAAGCCGGTTAAGTTCAGATAGCTGACGTTGATAATTGTCCTCGTTACCACGGTATAATAACTGTTAATTGTACTATTTACTGGGATGTGAGACTAGGTGTCATTCTGTTATGTATCTTCTCTCAGTGATGAAGTGTTACTTATTCAGACAGCCGTTTGTATAATTTGTAATTTATTTATTTCAAATTATTACTGAATCATAGAAAAACTTCGCGATGGAATTAAATCCCGTATCACCCTCCAGAATATGACCGACCTTTGTGTACCTAATAATGTAAGCCACTTTATATCGGTCAGGGAGATTTTCGAAATTGAGACAGAGGTCTTGAATTTGATCACTTGCGGAGTGTCTTAACATACTTTTTATAGATCTGTCATCAATATAAAACATAAAATAAAAGAAATATCCATTAACCTTGTGTACTATATGATAACTTCCTGCTCAAGTACTTAACGCATGTTGGACACTTCAACAGGTGGGAACGTAAGCAATTAAGATATACATGATGAGTACATGATACAGCTACGACTTCGACACGTGTTTTTCGTGTTTTATATCATGCATGGGTTAAGGTACAGACGACTTTCTCACATTATCATGTAAACCCTTTTATGCACTTTTCATGAGAATCTGAAAGTACAGACAGGCGGATTTGCATTCATCTTTGGCTATCTCAAGATACTTAATCTTATGGTCCATTCTGTGATCATATGAAATTGTAACTCGTTAAACAATTGAATGACGTCTCCACCCTGTGATGCTAGTTATTGGAAGACGTGACCCGCTTGTTCCATAGTAACCAAGATTTCCAGAGACCAAGTAAAACATTTTACAACCAAAATACTTGAAATTTCACATAAAATCAGGGAAAAATACTCTGTACTACATTGAAGTTTGTCTGGTCATTTATATCTGTTTTGAATTCCACGAACATGTGTTACTCTATCATAAGAAACGAATTATACACACACAAGAAAAGGAAGAAAAGAAAGATAGCATAAACTTAAGATAACCAGGCTTTCGCAACTGGTTTTCAGACAGAAGTGAAGTTTTCACAATTTACAAGGAATCAGATCTCAAGAGAGTTTGTAATATTCATTAGGCATAAGCTGTGTTAAAATGATTTTTGCAGACCTGTGATTTGAAATAGAGTTGTATCCCCCCTGTGTTCGCCACAGCGTCACAAACGACCCGTGTCTCGGGGGTGGGGGAAAGAACATTCGTAGTCAATAGATCGCTAGGCCGTCACTAGCGAAGTGTGGATCAGCTCGTCAGAGAGTTATCTCCCCAGATCAAATGCACTCACTTTCCAAAGATTTCGACAAAACCGACAACCCCATATCTCCTCCTAAAGATAACTGACTCAGATAACTCGCCAATCATTAATTTTCCATATTTCTATTAAAAATATTGATATATTATAAAAAGAGTTCTATGTTTGACAAACCATGTGAAATTTTGAAGTGTCGATAAGGAAAGTTGAAGTAGATATTAATGACCCTTTGGAGCTAGTACGGTTCTCGCATCACCTACCGTCTACTTGTAAATGCGTAATGAAAAGATAGACCAACTAGTTTTCACACGGGACAGTGATGTATATAGTGATATGCGTTCTATTTTCATAGTTTCATAACTTTTTTCCCAACTTTGAACAAAAAATCTTCTCTCACACAATACCATTCTCATTTGAGAATAATTCAAAGTAATATAATGACATCTTTCAGCATGAACGAATATATATTTCAAATCAAATCTATGAAAATGATGAGTGTTTATATTACAGAAATTGAAAACATTTTTCATGTTTGTCTTACGAAATTCGTCTCCGGGGATCGTGAAGTCCTCTCGATTTGAAAAGATTACTACTGAACCTGTAAATATCACACGAGATTTACTTGTTCGGTTTGTGATTTTCAGCAGGATGCCGTTCAAATGATTCACCGATCTCCTGATTGAAATATACGGGCAGCTAACCAAATCAGAAAAAGTCAGTTTTATCCTCACACGTGTATACTGACCTGGGGTCAAACATCAGCCCGTGTGATCTCCCGAGAAGACATTTCTCGTGCATACGTCCACGTGTGTCCACTGGACACTTCAACATCTGTACCGTTGTAAGAGCTTTCGATTAAAAGGTATAAGGTTCTTTGTTACTCCAAGAATCGCATGTAAATCAGGATTTTGACAGAGTCGAGAAAAGGGGTAAACAGTTGAACTAATGACTGTCTTAGTTTAGTTCTTTACCCCCCCTCCCCGCCCTACAAACACACCACAACAAGTATATTTGCAATATTAGTGCCTTCTAAGTCATTTCTTTGGTGAGCATGACCATAAAAAGCAAAACATTTAATAGTTAAGGTTATATGTTACCATAGAAACTTGAACGGACTACGTCAAAATTGTTTCCCTTGATTTCTCTGTTGAGATTTATACAATAATTAAAATTACCAGACAAACTTCAATGTAGTACAGAGTATTTTTCCCTGATTTTGTGTGATGAAGGTGACTGTGTAGTCATCGAAACGTCACACTCTCACAAGAACTTTACTATTATATTGACATTACCAACATGAAAAAAATGTTCCAAAGAAGCGTCAAATACGTTTTATAATTTTTAACCAGTCTCAAATGACCATTCCGTAAATTAAAGACATAAAATTATCATAGTAAGTTCATTTATAGATCTAAAATAGCTATACCGAACAGAACTTCCAGTATTTTATAACTTGAGTACACTAGGAAATTTGACGAGTGGTGGAAATTTCTTAAATACAAGTGATCTCTGATTCCAATTATAAATATATCAAATTCTAAACTTAACGTTACAAACATCGGGAAATCAATATTTTCATTATTCACATCACATCCATGAATACTATTAAGCTGAGAATGACATGAATATATTTCCATTGTTTCTGATTTCCATACACGATTTAGTAAAGAAAAAAAGATAACATTTTCTATCATCGCTTTAAAGGCCATCATAATTTGGCTTGTGTCATTGCATATGGCTTTTCTCGTCGCTATCACATGAATCCTTGTCACATTTTGTGATTTTTGTGACACAGAACATCACGAAAAGTATTAGAACCAGTCATGTTTTATACGAGATAAGGTCGTTAGGAGGGGACGAGCAAACCACCCAAGGGAGGTATTTTTTATCCAAAAAGAATTACAGAGACCTTCCACTGACCCTATCTTGATCTCCAAAATAGGGGTTATTTTCTGTGTAGTTTGTTTGGGGACAATTCCGGTCCATTGGGAGGTGTTCCTTGACCGATAAGATGTCGGGTTAATATTCCTGGGACACTATCTTAATCAACTGATTAAAGACCCGGTGTTCATGTTACATATATTTTTTTTTGGTTTTGTTTGAGAAGTTAGTTTCCCATCTCGATTGTGGTCTGATCTAACAGATTACTACCTCAAAAACATGAACAGTTCCTTCTTCTAGAGAAAATGAAGCGACAACCAGTAATCTTTTATAAACTAGATGTTGTATTGAAATTTGTTGTATCACGCGACTGTTGGCCTAGGAGAGCCGACCAAACGAGCCTTTGGGGTTTTAATTAGATAAATTTGGGCCTGGAGAAATTCGAACATTTCACACAATGTAATGTATTTCAGGAAAGCATAGATCTCTGGATTTTCTTTACATCCCCATATCATGCTACCGTCTTTTGGCGTCTCCCACGGGAACCCAGACTTATTACGAGAGGATCGGAAACTCATTTATATGCCATAGAATACTTGTTTTCCTCTTCGAATGATCCTCTTACGTTCCGTTGTACAAATGAGGGTAATCGCATAAACTTGTGTTTGTATGGTGTTTTTCTGCTTGTATAATTACAACCAAGATGCGTTAGACTTAGAACGATTTCGTGTTGTCATGTGTATCCGGATTTCCTTCACCGGTACCCTCTCCGTGAAGTAGAATATCCCTTACAGGAATAACGGTATTAATTCGCATCATCCTTATAAAACCATCTCTTAGACGTATCATTATCGTGGTAAACATACCTTGCACTTTGTCATAAAAAGTAATCTTCTTTTTGTTTAATGTCACCTACTCTATAATTATCGACTTACGTCCACGTCAGAGCTCCCTCTGTGTGATGAAGGAAGTTTTTTCTGTCTACATCTGTTTCCTTGCGACGCTTAACCGGTAAATGGAGGGGCGTGGCTACAGCATTGAAACGCTGGTAGTATTAGAGGGATCAACACCTCTTAGATTATAACTTAATTCTCTAATGCTTTCTCATGGCGTCATGTTTTTATTGATAACCTCTCTTCCTCTCATTCCTTACCGACCGTATATAGCGCACAACAGTCAGTTGTCTTCCCATTGCAGCCATCTTCATTCCTTTTTTAATCTTCTATAGGATTGACTTAAAAATTGATAACATGATATATACAAGTATACGGTTGCATTTTAGTCAAACGTTTCCAAATCAATGACGCGACAGCCGCGACCAACAGAGACAGAGTTCCGCCAAGCTGAATGATGAACATGATGATTTCTATTTCTCTAGCGTTGATGTTACATTTATATGTAGCAACTTCCCTATTTCCCCAACCTATGGTGTCTTATTTACTAGTCGCAGTTGATTAGATATCCAAGCGTCTGTTGTGATTATAAAAAAATGTATAATAGGCAGATAATTTCACAACACAATTTTTCGATAAATGCATGTTGATACGAGTCATAGGCGAATATTTTGGTCGTCGTAATTATCTCATTGGAAAATGTTCTGTTTCTTTTTTGTGTTATGAAGTTGGACGTGGTTGACAGGAATATGCCTGGTGGTTCAGTTGTTGTTTATCTGACGACGCTTACCCTTTCGCAACACTTGGCTCCATTCTCATTGTACTTTTTCGAGGTCTCCATGTCAATCTCTCTTTTATCAAGATTTACGCCCAGTTTTTATCGAATTCCGTCAATATGTTGGTATTCTCTTTGTTGTTGAATAATTCAATACTTTTTTTCATTACTTTGGATGAAGTTTATTTACTTAAACTTGATACCCTATACTGGAAACACGATATTATTGTGGGCATAAAATACATTTCTCGGGAACAATTGTACATAACGCTATAACGATATCATCTAAATAACAGTTTAAAAAGTACGAAGTCCTGACAAGGATCACCGTACAGCTTAAATGGTCGAGGAGAAAAAAGCGAGATCGAATCGGTCGATAATGACGCTATAATCAATGGATTCAATCAGTCTTAAAACGTATCCTTGCCGCAAGGTATACCTGCCATATAGTTGTGATTTTTGTCATTATAGCATCTTTACGCGCATGACGTAGATAAAACACATCATTCAAACAATTCATTTTAAACCCTTATCACAATATCCATCTCCTTTGGTCGCTTGTCATAATTGATATTTTAATATAAAAAGTACAAACTCATTAATATCAGCAAATATTTGTTGAAATATTCCATTAGGAAAATCACAATTTACTAATAGTCTAAATGGTTCGTTTCATTCTTTTATTTTTTTTCTCTCTCTCTCTCAGAAAAAAATCAATTTTAGTTCACAATTTATAAGCCTCGATAAAGATGCTAGAGATTTCTTTCTCGTCAGTGGAATTAATTCCTCTAAACACAAGACCGAGTCTAATTAGACGAATACAGGCGTCCAAGTAATGATAATATTGAAAAATGCAGCATATTGCTTGCGCGTGCAGAGATTAGAAATTCCTCCGCGCACGTGCCGAGGAAGTGATACGGAGAGAGGAAGACGATGTGAGTTGACTTTTTCCTTTACACGTGTCTGAGGTAGAGCTACCGGTCTGGCAGACACTCCTTATCGTAAAGAAAACATTACACCCGGGCAATGTCATTGGATGACGCGCTTTGTCGCTTATTACGTAGAAAATTATCCTTTTTATCAATAGTTAAAGAGAAGGTTCAGCTGTGCTTATTAGACCAGACTAGTAATTAGAGCATCAGGCACGTGCATCCTTAACACTTAAACCGGTTTATATTCGACATGCACCTTGTCACTTACATCAGCTCAATGTTCCCGACACATAAATATAGTCCGTGAATCCGACATTTAATTTCATTTGTTACATACTTCACAGGAGCTTCCATTTTATGTCCCTCTAAAATCTTTTATTTTCATCTCTGTCACACGATATCGACATTTTAATAATTTTCTTGTTTGAAGTAATATGCACCCCGAGGATCCTTTTCTGTTTTTGTGTTGTTCTGGCCTAAGGCTACATGCTAAGATTAACTTTGAAATGTATTTCTTTTCTGAAATCAGTTTCAAATTAGACATAATTAAACTTTCTATTAATTGTAACTCTGATTACTTTAATTACATTGATATCGATTTGTAAGGAGAGAAAAAAATACACATATCGAGGAAGAAATTTTTGAAGGAGATATTTATTTCATAAATTACAAATACAATGTAAAAGCAATATTTCTCTACTTATAATGTTTGGTAGTCTTAAAAGTAAATATATATATTATGTATACATACATAAGACTATCTGTGATCGCAATGATTAGATATCCAACATTTTCCGGTGAAAATTGACAAGGGTCAATGCCATATTCATTGGCTAGGATGAATGCTTTCTGACCCCGATGTTCCAGAGTTGAGCATGTCTCACGCAATATAAACGTTAGCTAGTAAGTCTGATTGTCTACCGTCTATTGTTTGGATGTGGGGACAAATTGTTTCCTAATGTACATTGCATACCGGTTCTATTCCACCTTCTGTCACTTTCTCTAATGGGAGATACAGAATTTCAGTTTGACACGAGCATAGACTCTCGTCCATGGAAAGAATACACTATAACAGAGCTTATATTGCAGACACGGAGAATGCTTGTTTCGGGTTTCTATCACGTAAAATGAATCCCTCCTTCTTATCTTGAAATATTGCAATGTACTATAAATTAACGTCAACGGACAGATGGCAAATAAGACACAAATACTCCTAAAAAACCAAACAAACATTTTGTTAAAAAAAAGAAAGAAAGTTATGAAATACGTTCCAAACATAAATCCTTTTTGTGTTTTCCAGTTTAAGTAAAACTCTTAGTGATTTAAGTATGCAAACCGAAACTAATTAGGATAGCTGTCAAGGACACGCTGTACATCCTTGTAATGGTTTCCGAGGATGTTTGTGCATTTGAACTGTTTACCAGACTGTAACCGTATCCCTGTCGTCAGCAATTAGGTAATTAAAACTAAAAAATACCATCAACGGCAATACTTAGAGGTTTAATGCCCAAAGATATATATTAGCACACGCCGAGTCTTTTTCTCTGTCTTTTAAATCAAAGAGTTCCAATCATATAACTGTCCCATCACGTAAATGCTTTTCTTGATGCTTTCAAAACGCTTCATTGATTTAGATCAAACAACCGACATTTAGATTTACAGACGCTTAACTATGGCCATAAAATATCCCACTTAAGGCAGTTTACCTGGTACACAAAGTCAGGCGTCACTGCGCATGGGCAGGTTCAAGAAGAAATGCGATTAATCTTCTGTGCTCGCCTTAATCTCGTGAATCCTCCACCCCCACCCCGCCTCGCTATAATTTTTTGATATCATCATTAATAGTAAAAACAACAACAAAATGAAAAAGAGGTCGACAGAATGTCTTATCGTTTAGTACCAATCCATTGAAATATTTTTTCCGGTGTAGCTGAAGGCAAAATCTATTTTGAAATGTCAGATCAAATAAAAACGCCATGCCATTTAACGGAATGGTTTGAATGTTAAACACACGCTGTCAGCAGAGCTCCAGGATGTTTTCGGAAATGCACACTTGGTAAAGACCGGAAAATCTCCACGATCTATCATGTACGGACTCAAAAGCTTGCAGATGAATCAGGTATCAATTATGATATTAATTTCCTGGCTCAATCTTTATATTCCGCCACAATTATACTAGTCTATCGCGGTAACAACTCACTACATTGGTGTTATCTTTCCATCGCTATATTGTATTGGAAAATAACATCATTTTAATCGTACGCCATACCTTTTGAAGTCCAATTACCAAATAGGGGCTGAATGAGTTGGTGGAAAGCACGCTCGTGCGGTGTGAGATAAAATGGTGTGTGCTTTATGGCGCTGAGCGTGCGTGAGCTACGTATCGATTATATCCGGGGTGAGGTTCGGACGATGGAAGAGCAAGGCATACGGTCACGGATATCGGCCCATTAGTACGCGGATCTATTTTGACACATGCACGTCCATCAATAAACATGTGACAATAATAAAAATTATTACATTATCAGTCATCGAAACCAAGAACTTCCATCGCACGTCCTTATCAAGCATCGTCTTTCTCTCGACGACCGCCCGATGATGATGCTAATGGAATAGTCGATGATATTGGATACATTCCATTTCCACAGTCATCTGCCATGTATGGTTGTTTTCAGCGGAAAATGGTTTGACGTGTTCTGTCACTTTTATATCCTTGTCAGTCCGGTTATTCCAACTATTTGTCGATAGAGAACTACTGTACTGTTCTAACACCCCCGCATGACTAAGGAAAGCTTTGTAGGAGGGGCTACTTTAATATTTGAAACAATGTTTTCTAGACATCAAACAATAAGCTTGTTGGATTTCAGAATGTCCATAACTGTTTGACTCACTGTAATGTGTAAGACCCATTTTATCACATAAATGATCTGCTGTGCCATATCATACGGTAATTACATACATTTCCTAAGACACACCATGAATATCGCTATTGTGACGTGATAATACGTCACGTCTAATGACGTCACAGGATTGTATCTGAAGTGAAAAACATATCGTCTACATTGAAATGAATCAGATTATAGAGAGATTCTGCTTATTTTCAAGAAATACGAGTTGTAAGGAAAATATGATCTTACGGTCTAACCATTGCAATATTGAGATAAATCAAGTTCGTGAAGTAATTTGGTATGTCACGTGACATACTGAATTATTGAACTATTTAAATAAATCCAACATTACATCGACACTCGTGTAAAATACTCTATATAAAGATTTGTTATGTAAATAGGACGCTTAAACATTTAATGTTAAGCTTAAAACAAATGATATGTTTACAGTGCTGCACAAATGTCTTTTTAACAATATAAACATATTCAGTGACCTCACCACTGCTCTTGTTCATTCATGTTGACTCACTGAAACATTTTATTATTCACTCTTTTCTCGGAATTCTATTAATATAAATCCAAAATGACGTCGCATCTCTTACCTTTCTTTTACATTTCTATACGGTCAGTTGATTTACTTCTATTACCCCTTGTATCTTCTTCCCGTCGGAATCCCCCTCTTTTTTCCCCTTTCCTATATTTCATTTTTAACTCTGCATTTTTTTTACTTGATGCCCTCCCTGTTTTTTTTCTCGCTCTCCATTTCACTAAATAAAACTTATCATGATCCGGAAGTCAATTTCTAGTCCTATCGTTGTACAAAATGTTCTCATTATCAGTCCCCATCGTTTTCCGACTTAGCCGTGGACATGATAAAATCACGGGGCATTTTATGTTTTACACAACTATAGAACATTGGAAATTTTAAGATGTTTCACTTATCTTCAGATTGCCATCTTCCTTAGCATGTATTTGGACGGTTACTAATTATATACTGTTTTAACATGTATATTAACACTTATTAATAAGACACTGTCTTAACATGTTTATTAACACTTATTAATAAGACACTGTTTTAACATGTATTTTAACAGTTACTGATTAGACACTGTTTTAACATGTATATTAACAGTTATTAATAAGACACTGTCTTAACACGACACTGTCTTAACATGTATATTAACACTTATTAATAAGACACTGTCTTAACATGTATATTAACACTTATTAATAAGACACTGTTTTA